GCTATGAGAGCAATATGCTGTGAAGAGCGGCAGGACGAGCAGAGAGGAGGTTCGTGGGTCTCGGCACAACGGCTACCAATGCGGAGCCCGAAACTGCAAAAGTCACATTTGGGTTCTGGATGTCACAAGCCCAAACCGTCAGTTTTCAATCCGTACATCCGTCCAACCCTAGAGCAAGCCCGCTCCGAACCCCGAATGCTACGCCGGACGGACTGGAATCCTCTCCGAAAAGCCCAAAACGTCCCTGAGGCCCTGGCTTAGTATAGGGCTCGGCTTGCGGAGTCTCTTTCACCTCAAAGAGTTGGCATGGAAGGCATCAAAGGGCTTCAGAAAGTGGAGCTGTGGCAATCAGGCGATGTCCTGGGAACTCAAGATTTGTCCTGAAACTCATCCCAAACTAGACACTCCTGGTGCCATGAACTCACGAAATTCTACTGCTGCGTAGGAAGTCACGCAGACCCCCTTCCTGAGCATCTAAAGAAAGGTCGAAATAACTGTACCCCTTAATCGCCTCTATGTATTGAAAGCAATAGACAACATATCCCGGTCTGAATTCTGAGGCCTGCGTAAAAAACAAAAATCGTGCCCGTATAGGTTCCCTGAGTATAACATACCCCCAAAACCCTTTTTGAATTGTATTCCCTACCCCAGAAAACTCGAAGTCTCCCGGGACACCTCGGCCTCCACTGGGGAGCTCCGTGGTTGCCGGCCTGCAAAGACACTCGTACTGGGGCCTCTGGGGTTTAGGGCCTTAGGCTTCAGGGCCTTAGTGCCTCGGGGTTTGGGTTTAGCGCCTTGGGCCTGGGAATGCATGAAGGGGCAGAAGGGGCACGAAGACAAACACCAAGACTCAACAGTGGCACCCTCAGAGCCTGGATAGTGAAAAACGTTTCGGGCGACAGTAGCAAATTGGCTGCTCGCACAGTCAAGTCGGGAACCTCAGGTCTCAGGCTAGCGGCTAGATGTGGCAGTTGACCGTCGAAAAAGCGTCGCGACCCAAGTCCTGACCTTCGAAACGTCAAAACGGCAAACACACCTGAATCAGCCCGGCACGTTATGGCTGCGTGCAGAAGCACAGCTGCAAAACAAGAGCACATTGCAGCTACTAGTACATACTTTAAGATGCCATTTTGATGTCTGGATTTCTGTGCCGACCCGCCCCCCCCCTCCCTCCGACCTCGTAGCCTCGACAGCACCTCCTCCAGGCGAGCGCGAGCAGTTGCCTCTGACTCAGCGCATGTTGCGCAGTTCTGAACCCGCGGCCAATAATAGTTAGTCTTTAGGCTTTAGGAGGTTTGGGGTATTGCAAGTTTAAGTTTTGAAGCAGAATCCGATCTGCCTGCATGTATTGCAGTAAAGTGGAGTCCATTGGAAGAAACTGCTGCAATGGTACCACGGCATCGTTTTCAGGCGCCAACAAAAGTTTTTCAAGTCTGCAGCGAGAAGGGCCTGAGATGGTCTGAGCTTGTGGGGGCTAGGATTCAGACCCAAGCATCCCCAAGCTTCCAACAATGCTAGAGCCTCCAAACCTTGAACGTCTCCTCAATCCCCTCGAATCCTGAAACCTAAGCCCTCCGAAACCGGAAGTCCAAGAAGCCTGAACTCGGAGACGAAACCCCAGACAGCCTTAAAAAGCTCCGGTTTGTTTGTGTTTCTGCCTCGCAAGGAGTTTCCGCTGCACCGGCACCAGAAGGGTCGCACTCGCCCTGCGCTTGCTAAGGGAAGCTCAAACGGGGCTCAACGGATGCTTTGAGGGGGCAGGCCTTAGGGAGCGTTATTTTTAGCGGACTTGTAGAGGCTTAGGCTTCGGGCTAGTGAATAGGGGGACTCTTGCCGTCAGGGAGATTAGCCACGCGTCTCGGGTTCCAGGGTTCAGATCGGGTTCTAGGGTTCAGATATGTTCGGATATATGATATGTAGCGTCGATTCAAGGTTCTGAGGATTGCGGCCTTGGGGTTTGGGGCTGGAAGTTCAGGATTTGCCGGGGCTTCTACGTCACTGGAATAACATACTGTCGGTGGCAGGATTATTAAGCTTCGGCCGTCTGTAGTCTATATGCCGTCTTGTTGTGGGTCGCGAAATTTCTGGTCCAACTGACTGAAGGTTTAAATCATTTTCAGTTTGAGCTGGTTCCCTGCACAGCCTCTCCCAAGGCTTCAGCACAGCGCGTGCAGAGCCACCTTAGATGGGACCCCTCCCATCAATTTGGATTGCCCTTCGAGGATGATGGGAGCTTGATACGTCTTTGCTACGCAACAACTTCCACAAAGGTTCAGGTTTCAATCCCAACTAGCTTATGAAACATCAGCATCATCAACAACTGCAGCAGCAGCAAAAACAAATGTTTGTCACCATTGCCTTTGTCCTTGACATGTCATTGTCATCATCGTTATCAGCCCCACCAGTGTCCCTCCACCCCTGCCGGCACCACCACCAACCAACCAGGTAGGAGAGCTAGTACTTGAAACGAGCCTGCTGAAGTGGCTGGGAGTTGAGTAGCGAGTTCCAACGGCTTTATGTGATCAAGAGGGGTTCAGGCTTAAAGGGCCGTCTTCTAGAGACCCTAACACAGGCATACATTGCACAGAGAACAGATTCTAAAATGCCCACCCGCTCACAACGCATAGTTCGAAACTGTCGCAACAAAGGAACGGGCATAGGCGGCATAGGATCGGCATAAGTGTTTATACCCCATGGCCGAAAAGAAGTAGTTCTGGCTAGTAGCTTCCTCTTGTAGATCACCTCCAAACTAGGTGCTAATGGAAGAGGGAGAAAGAGAGAGAGAGAGAGAGAGAGAGAGAGCTAGCGAGCGAACGAGCGAGAGCGAGGGCGGGAGGGCGAGACAGAATACTCGTAGTCGAAAAGCTTGCACTACCGAGCCCCGAGCTGCAGCAGGGCGGTGTATTTCCTGAGCTGGGGACCCGAGAGCTCCAGAGGGGCTGTGATAATCAGAATTCGGTACATGCGAGCGTAAATACAAAAGAACTGTTCGCTATTAAAGCCTTCTGGGCTGGGACATCTGATTGCTACACGTGGATGAAGGACTCCCAGGGAACAACATGGTCTTGAGGCTGTGATGTTGGAGAAGAACGTTTGAGGTTCCTCGTTTTGTGAACTCCCCGAACATGATAGGGTTTACATCTACTCTTGTTCTGGTTGCAGAAGGCGACAACTGCAGCAAACTCTTACTTGAATGTTTCTCCAATTTTCTGCGTACAACCGCCCCCCTGGCTGTCGAGGCACAACGTCGCCTCCTCTGCGGCTGCTTTGGCCTGTCACTCAAAGGGGAATTTGGGGATCATGTTGGGTTCAGGGCTTCAGGGTTTGAGAGTTTTCGCGTGTAGGGTTTTGCAGTTTGCAGGGGTTGTGGGCCAGGCCAGCAGGCAACGTCTGCGAACGTCCGCGATGCCTAGAACTCTTTCACTGTTTTATGTATGAGCGATCTGCGGCGTACAGTGCAAGCCCGTTGGAAATCCTTAGGATGATCCGCCTGCTCTAATAAAAACCATCTACCCAGCTAGCTAGCTAGCTGGCTAGCTTTGAGACGTGTGTAGAGGCCTGAGAAGAGGTGGTTCGAAATATTTATTTTTAGGGGACAAATAGGAAAAAATTAGGAATTTGGAAAATCTGAGTTTAGGGAAAAAATAGGAAAATAATAGGATTGTGTCCAAAACAGTCAATTGTCCATGGTTTTGTCGATTTTGCATCGCAATCCAGGAAATCCTATCGAAATCCTATTAGAATCCTATTTTTCCTATTTTTGTCCTATTCTTGGACAAAAATAGGTGAAAATAGGTGAAAACTAGGAAATAAATAGGAAGATAATAGGATTGTGTCCAAAACTGACAATCTTCCATGATTTTGTCGATTTGTGCATTGCCATCCAGGAAATCCTATCGAAATCCTATTGAAATCCTATTTTTCTTCTATTTTATCCTATTATAGGGCAAAGATAAGGAAAACTAGGTGAAAAATATGAAATAAATAGGAAAATAGTAGGATTGTGTCCAAAACTGACAATTTTTCCATGATTGTGTCGATTTTTGCATCGCAACCCAGGAAATCCTATCGTAATCCTATTAAAATCCTATTCCTGAAGAACCAGAATTATTCCCAAATATATCCTTTTTTCACTTAAAAATAGTTGTTCATGGATTTGTGACTCTAGCTGGACACTGCACGTCTTAAGGCTAGCTAGTCAAGCTAGCGAGCTAGATGGAAAGATAGATCGTTAGATAGATACCGGCATCCCAAATGGCAACATGCTGCAAAGGTCCCGGTCACATCATCTACTGCTTGGGGCGACATTCCGAGCTTACAGCGCACAGCCGACAGTACAGACATGTCAAAGCACTCTCGCGCAGCATTCTTTTGGAAGCGCACGGCAGGAGGCGTTGCAAAAGTCATCCCGTTCCCTCCAACATACAAAGGTTGGGCGGACGGCGACAGAAACCTCCACTGTTTCAAGGGCGGAGACGGTGGGTCTCAAAATTCGCAAGGACTCGACACTTCACACACGGGCGACAAACTGCGGCATGCGGCACGAACGCTCTCCCATGTCATTACGTGCACACGTGCACTGACATTACAAATCTCACCAATTCAGTGGTACCAGCTGCCAGGCATGACACTACCTCTTTGTGGATGCCGCACCGCCCCGCGAAAACTCAGAGTAACTGATGCTACGCGCCCGCTTAGCCGGTTGAGCTCCCGCCATGCTGGTTGATCGTTTCGTCGACCGCTTGGCTTCGCTTCCAGCCACATTTTCAAAGTCGGAGAGAGCGACGCTTGCTGGACCACCACCATTGAGTCGCGGACCAGATGCACAATCAAACCGCTTAGCTCGTTGTCTCAGCCGTTCCACTAACTCACACCATATTTATCCGCTTGAAGCTGCTCATAGTTCCCAATACCACACCTCACCGGCTTGATCAAGGACAAGGATGGACTTCTGTATGCTCACCGAAAAGGCGCCGATTTCCAGTGAGCCGAGCCAGGTGTCAAAGAGAGGCAGGTCTCAAAGTCGTCGATGGGGCCAGCATCTTTCCCAGGGCCAGGCCGTCCCACAGGATTGAGTACTCCTCTTCGTGCTTGTCCAGAAAAGCTGCAACAAACTGGCGAAGTTTGCGTCCTGAGTATCCCTTAGCTCGCGGAGCCAGCTGGGAGAATGAGCCTGCCAGGGCCTCCAACAAGCAATCTCCCTTTCCGGTGTTAGGGACGCGCTTGTGCTCATGGTCCACCTCAAGGTCGTCTGTAGGATCGTCGTGGTCCGCAGTCTCGTTGTCGACGGCGGGGCGCTTAGCTGCAACTTTAGGCGTGGCCGCCTTGAGGCTCCCGCAGAAAGACTGGGTCGGCCTGGGTCGTCGCATACGTCACCTTCTGCTCGCGAGGGAGCTGCCATGCTTGGGCGTGCTGGCGTTGTCTGGTAACCGCTTTGGTAGCATGCAACTCACGAGTGCCCACTTCTGACTGCACGAAGGCCGACACAAAGGTCCTGTTGTCCGGACGCGTAGCCTTGAACTTCCACACGGAGCCTGGACGAGCCCAGACTTTTTCCTCAACAACGACATCTTGGAACTCCATCTGCGCCAACACCTGCAACTCTGCAACCCGTCGCCCGGGTCGCATTGCTTTGGCACGCGGTCCATGGTCCACAACGCTGACCTGTCATGGAGTCGAGGGTCGCCGGAAGCAACACGGAGCCCGAGCTGGTGCCTGCCGGCCACAACCCCTGACTTTCCTGCCGTCTTGCCCTTTCAGCATACTGAGTCCAAGTCTCATTCTCTTGCCATGGCAGCCAAGCGATTTCGAGTCGAGCAATCGTCTCCTCGGAAACACCTTGCGCATACAATCTAAGACCCGTCGCCTTCGCGCCAGAGTTGCGTATCAGGCCGGATGCCACGTGAAGCCTTTTCACTCAAAGGAGGCCGGAAAGATCATTGCCCTGCATTTTGAAGCTCCAGGTGTCCCCAAGTAGCTTGGCGGTGTCCGGCTGGAGCTCCTGGCACCATCGTCTTGCGTTGGCACTGGGGTCGTCAACGGTCGTATTCCATTGATCCCAGCTGCAACCCTGGAAGCTGCCCAGGGCCGTCAGTCGAATCATATATCCGCCCCGGTTGCTCGTCTTGTTGCCGATGGCCGTGGACACGAATTTGTCGCGAACCTGTGCCGAAAGCACCACCTGCTTCGTCTCACGGAGCGGGGCCTCGCCAAAGTTGCGTATCCAGCAAGTGCGTCATTGGAGTGAACCGCGGTCGCTCCCGGGCACCCTGACTCTCGTTGCTTGCGGGTCGTCAAGGTGGTTCTGTGCCTGCATCACCACCGTGGTCATGGGCCACTTCGCATGCTACTGTCCAATCATCTTCGGCGGTGACATAGACGATGTGGGCCTCGCCGGGCCTCGCCACGTCTGTTTTCCAAGTGCTTGACGTTCTCATCCGACCCTTTAGCCAGAGCGATGTCTGTGGTCAAAGGGTGCGTCCAGCGCGTAGCCTTTGGGAGCTATCCAGCGTAGATCCATGGCTCCGGCTCGGTTCGGCCATGACTCCATCTATTTCGCTGCTTCGTGCTCCATCCAGCTCCACTACTACTGCGCCGAGTCCTGATTGACCTTGGGCTTGTCAACGGGCTTCGCCGCTTTGTCTGGCCGCTTTCGCTCTCGCTCAAGAACCTTCGTCAGTTCATCAAAGACATCGATGTCCGCATCCTCGGTGATGCGTTGCATAGCTGCCTCGGAATCCTGCTTCAAGGGTTCCTGTTTGCTTCCATGGTTTTTTGTACTTCGCTGCTGTATCAATCGCTTCAGCATCCTCGGTGTCGTTATCGTCCTGAACAGCTCCTCCGTGCAGACGAGGTCGAGGTGGACAACCCATCGCGTCCTCATGGGAACCATGGCATCGGCACGGCTGCTGAGGGAGGACGGGGGCTCTAGGCCCCGAGGGGCCAGTGCCTGATTCACCTGATCTCGCCGGTGTGGGCTCTTCGGCCTCTTGAATTTTATTTTGATTCTTTTTCTTCTTGCACTTCATCTTTTGATGCATCATCTTGTTGCTTCTTCTCTTTTGTCGGGCCCGGTTCCCGCAGCTTGCACAAGAGCCTATATACCCCGGGCAACCAATAACCCCGACCCTCTATGCACACTCAACTCAGATACCACGGTGCTTGCGCGATGGCGCGCTCCTTCCAACAGAAGTCGTTGAAGGCACCACTAAGACCTGCGTCTAGCCCGAAATTTCTGAACTTTGTCATCTGCGGCGCCTCCCTCCGATCCACGATGCAGAGAAAGCGCAATGCAATCTGCAAAGTTCCTTGCTGAAACGGTTGAGCCTGCCACGTGTCCATCTCCTCGGATGAGATACCGAAGTGCGTGGAACCCCCCAAACTCTGGCACGACGTATCCTCGTGCTGGCTGACTGCCACCGTCTTTGGCCACTCTCGGTGTGGGCATAAGGACTTCCACGGAGTCCTAAGTATTGCCTTCGTCGATCCATGAGCCGACGCACGGCCCTGAAGCTCGATGCTGAACGCCAGTAAGAGAGCGATTGTCGACCCCATGTGAACACTGCTTCGGTGACTCTGATCCTTGCCTGCTTATTGCGGTCAATGGCCTGACCTCGCACGGAAGCCACAAAGCCAAACACCGCAATGACGAAACACATCACTGCGCCCAAGAGGCATCTCCAATCCTGAGTAAAAAGGCGACCAGGGTCCCACACCGATCGGAAGCATGACGTGTTGTTGTAGATGTCCGTCGGCAGGGATGGCGGATGCTCCGTTGTCGAGTTGCCTGAAGCCTCTGTAACCTGAAAACCTCAGCAGGCACAGAGAACGATCCAGAACAAGACGGTACTGCACTCTCCCAGGTGGAGAGCCCGCGTGGCGCACTTGGAACCACCGTCTGCCACGCTTTGTTCTTTATTGCAAGTTTGGACTCCAAACAGGGGCTTTGAACAGTTGCTTCGCCATGGTTGCAGATGTCATTGGACTTGCGAGTGTATTTGGTTTCAGTGCTTGAGGCCGTGACAAGCGGGAGTTCAGTCATGCCTGCTTCTTGTCGTCCACGTCGACTTCGGTATCTTTGCATTGTAAGAATGTCTTGCAGCAAAGATTGAGGTGGGTTCCAGAATTAATTTTGTAATTTATTTGTCATTTTGTTGTCATTTGCCCTTGTCGTTCTTGTGTCTTTGGGATTGTCCTTTTTTTGTCATTCTGGATTTGGTTGATGTTAACACCTTGTCATTTTGGTGTCATGTTTTGTCGTTTTGGTGTCGTTTTTGTGTCATGTTGGCGGGGTGCGGAGGGAGGGAGGGTGGGGCAGGGCGCCAAACCGAAATTTGCAAATTTCCCGAGGCGTTGTCATTTTTTCGTCCGTTTTTTGTCATTTTTTGTCATTTTGGAGGCATTTCTTTGGCATTAGTGTCGTTTTTTTTAATTTTGGCGGGGCGCGGAGGGAGGGAGGAAGGGTGGGGCAGGGCACCAAGCCGAAATTTGCACATTTCCCGATGCATTGTCATCTTTTGTCATTTTGGTGCCATATTTTTGTCATTCGGAGGGAGGAAGGGCGAATGACAGAAACGACTAAAAAATGACAACCGGACAAACCACCAAATGACAAATAAATGACAAAATAGGTATTTGATGAAATCCAAGGTCTAGAGGCCAGAGATTCTTACAATCTTTGCATGTAGTCAGGCCGTGTTGGGGTTTGGGCAGGTCATTCAGGTTCAGGCAGGGTTACTTCTTGCTGTCCTCCTTCGACGTGCTGACATGTCCAAAGTTTCCCGGCGTGTGGTCAATTGAGACCTGGGCGTCGGCACTGGTTCTTCGCCTAATGCAAACCCAACTTAACATTCCGTCCGTGTGTGGGTGTCTGTGTGTGTGTGTCCGTGTCGGTCGCTGTACTTCTCGTATGGTTGTATATAGTCTCTGTTTCTGTGCCAGCTGATGATTGTGTGTTTTCCTTTGGTGTGTAAGCCCTTCAGTCTTTCCAGTTACAACATTAGCCGTCGGCCTGTTTCTAAGCACGGGGATCAACATGAACAATCACAACGACAACAACAACAACAACAACAACAGCACGACAACAACCACACTCAGAATCACAAACAACAGCAACAATCCTAGCAACACCACCACCAACAACAACGACAACAACAATAACAACAACAGCAACAACAACAATAACAACAACAGCAACAACAATAACAACAACAGCAACAACAATAACAACAACAGCAACAACAATAACAACAACAGCAACAACAATAACAACAACAGCAACAACAACAACAACAACAACAACAACAACAACAACAACAACAACAACAACAACAACAACAACAACAGCAACAACAACAATAACAACAACAGCAACAACAGCAACAGCAACACCCGTAATGAATAATAATCATACAAACCAGCATCACAGCAGTATTTCTGTGGATCCAGTAGTGATGAAAACAAGAATATGTAGCTAGGTCGATAAATATATAGATATTCATACATACTGGACGACAACAAGAATAATTATGATCAGAATACACTTAACTTCTTTTGAGGATGATAGACATGGCAAGATGATAATCGTGGTTATGGATCATAAAGATGACTCTGCTGACAAAAACCATACATATAATTAAAAAATGATACAAATGATGAAAAACATCAAGGATGACTGATATGACAGGGATGGTAGAGATAATAAAGATGATACAGATAGTCAATATGATAAAAATATTAAAGATCATGAAGATGTTAGAGATGACACATATGATGAAGATGATACAGATGATGGAGATGTTAACGACGATTATGATAATTAATGTGACAAAGATAATAGAGATTATACAGTATGGGAATGGGTGAAGGTTTGGATTGGAGGGATTGGGAATGGAGGGGGAAGGTGAGGCATAGAGAGGAGACTATGATGCTATGTAATTTAGTGAATTCTGCAAAACTACTACCACTGGATGCACTTCTAAACTTCCGACGGAAGATATGTTACATGTTGATGCTATGTGAAATAGAATTTAGCTAAGCAATTGGTATTGTAAATAGAAAAACCTAGTTAAACAGAGCCTAAAGGTATCGGGCACACACATATATGTATAATTATATGATTAGATATAATACATATATAGAGAGAGAGAGAGAGAGAGAGAGAGAGAGAGAGAGAGAGAGAAAGAGATGCGGCGCTTGAGAAGCGGCAGTTGTTCACAGGCGCACCTCCTGAATCTCCTTGGCCTTCCGCTGCGACTCCGTCCTCCGCTTGGGGCAGTACGGCTGCAGGCCATTAGCCCTTAGGGCATCGGCCCCCCGAAATCAGAAACCTGCCACAGACTCCAGTAGCGGCTCCTTACTGCGGATCCCTTCAGCACATTCCTCATCTGGTCAAACTAGTCAAAAGTCTTCGAGTCTGTCCAGGGATCCGGGATCCGATTCCCCTAAACATTAAGCCTCAAACCCTTCATGCGGGCCCAACAAGCTAACAAGGTCTAGCCCAACTCAAGAACCCTTACAAAAAGACATCGCAATTACCCTTTGGTCGCTACAAAATGCCAACGCTGACGTAGCCCTGGGCAACCATCCGCAGACGTGCTATCATCCTTGCCGCTGTCAGCTGCTGACGCAGGACATCCACCTCGTGTTGTTTTTATGCTGCTGTTCCACGCGTTGCTTGTGTATGTTATGAAGTTTCGATCATTCTGTTGCTGTGCTCCTTCTTCTTCTGCTTCTTCCTACTCTTGCCACTGTGGCTAATTGCAATTACTGCGACCGCTCCTATTTGGTACGGTGATCTTGCTATCATTCGTACTGTTCCTGTGTCTCACCGCGATTTTGGTCCTACCGCCCCAAACCAAGACCACAACCCTCAAAGCCAGCCCTAAGGACAAGTGAAGCTTCACGGTCGTGAACCGAAACCCCTAGGCCATCGAGTCCTTTCATTGGAGGGCTTGGGGTTTGGTTTTTTCTTTTGTGAACCCTCTCTTCCCATCTCCCCAAAGGATGTCCGGAATGCCAAGGGGTTTGGTTTAGAGTTTAGGGTTTAGTGTATATGGTTCTGCATGAGCGGGGCGCGAGGCAGTGTCAATTCTCGGCCTGCGGTGATCCCGAAAAAATTCAATTGTGGACAGAAGGTCGAAGACTGCCGAGTAGGGCTGTAGTGCCGAAGTCTTAGGGAGAGCTTTGAAGTACAGACAGACATAGTGAAAACTCCTGACCCCTAAACCCAAAACCCTGACCTAGCCTTGCCACCCTAAACCCTACCGTACAACCCTAAACCATCCTAAACCTTGAACAACTTTAAGTCCAGTGGAAAGCGGTGTGAAAACCCTTCAGGGTGAGGAGAGATGAATCAGAGTAGGCATTCCTACTGGTAAGAAGAAGAAGCAGAAGAGAATGAGGGGCAAACAGGCACGAATTGTCATAACTATCGTAAGGCTATGCACCTGGAGCTCTCGAAATTCCACTCGCAGCCTAAAGCATCCGAAAGCCCCTGAAAGCCCTTCAAGAAACCCTGACGGGCCCTCGAAAGGCCTGCGATGTCGCAGCCGCTCTCGCCTCTGACTCCGCCTCTCAGGTTTGCCATCTCGGGCGCTTCGGGTTGTGGAAGCTGGGATTTCGGCTTGAGGTCTAGGGTTGAATGATTTTTGCTGAGAGCTGGTTCAGAGTTCAGAGTTTGCGATTCAGGGGTCGAGATTCTGGATTTGGGATTTTGGCTTTTGGTAGTACTTAGAGTTCAGTGGGGTTCGGGGTTGAGGTTTGGTGCTTTGGTGATCTTTGGTGTTTCAGGTTCAGCAACTGGAAGTCAGCTTTCAGTGTCTCCACGTATCCAGAGCTTTTTGTGGTTCGGTGGATGCCAGAGTTTCCTGTGATCCAACACTATACCTCGACCTGAGGTCTCAAAATTGTTCGCAGGTTTCTGATATATTGTACATGTATTGTTACTCCAGACGAAAAGCAACCGTCGCAACAAGTACGCATGAAGCCATGGCATCGCGACAACAACACCAAGTCGCGCAATCGCTGCCAGTTTTGGCCTCCTGACGAATTTGAAGTTACAAGGATCATTCCCATTCCTGCGCTTGTGCTGGCTACAGTATCACCCCCCTTTTCTTCGCTTCCATCGCAAAGGACGTGCAGGGAGTCTGAAGGGAAAGGGAGTGAGAATCAGGCTCATCCGAAGAGGTCGAAGTCCATCTCCTCCTGCAGAGGTTAAACTGGTCGGACTCATTGCGGCTTGGGGGTTTACTGTAGGGTTTGTCCCTGGGTGATATGCCATTCCGCACTTTCGGAGCAAGAGGCTGGGCCGAGGCTGTAGGACGTGAACTTCAGATGGCGCTTGAGATCTCAAAGACACTAGGTATGACCGTCTGACCACTCCTCACGAAACGACTGGACAAATTGCACCGGCACAACTTTTCCCGCGGCATCGGAACACGTTTGTGCGTCTGATTGCGCACAGATCTCTCGTTCCGCAGCAAGCGAGCGTGCTCACCGTCGAACCCCATCGACGAGCACGCAGCCAGCCGCAGCGCTGCAGGCAGCAGCTCAAAGCCACACCCTAGAACTGGCTCTTGAGTGCAGCCGCCGGCGTGGCTTTCACAACCGTCTTCGCCTGACGCATCTTCGGTCGCAAGATGCAGCAGTCACTGCCTGCCAGCGTTCCCCCATGTTCCCGCCTTCTGCGCCTTGACCTGAACCTCCTGCAGCAAGGACATCACAGCTTAGACTGCCTTCAATAACAGTCTCGTCAGCTCTCATATGCTGGCCTTGCCGAACATCATGCGAGTGCCACCCTTCGTGGCAGGCTTCTGACCTTACAGCTCAACGTGGTTTGGCCTTCCCCACACTCTACCGACTCCAGTCACAGACATGAAGGGTATCAACCGCAGCCCAGCCGCGAGTCTTGATCATGCACAGCCCTGGCAACACGAACCTCGGACATGCAGGAGGTCACATGGAAACACCCCTTTAGCCTGCGGGCGAGCATAGACTCAACTGCCGGCAAGGAACTTGCCGGTGGTGGTGACCTCGCTGGCACCGATTTCGGAAAGATTCTGCAGGACCGACAGGACCTCCTTCTTCTTGAGCTCAGACTTGGTGGCGAGCTGGTCGGCAAGCTGGGACTTGGTCATGGCTTTGGCGTTGGTCTTCATGGCCTTGGACTTCATCGCGGACTTCATTGCCGGAGCCATGTCTTGACAGTGGGTCGGGCGAGTGCCAAAGGCCTTGTGAAAGCTTGAGCAGCGAGGCGGAGCGCGAACAGCGCAACCGGATTGTCGCTCGTCAACATTGTTTAATGCTCACATCTGCAGAATCTGCAGAGTTCACTCGGTGCTTCTTCTCATCTCCCTCCGGTGAAGCTGTTGCAAAAACACTCCCTTTCAGGCGGCATCTTTCACGCGGCATCTATCGGAACACGTTTGTGCGTCTGATTGCGCACAGATCTCTCGCTCTGCAGCAAGCGAGCGTGCTCACCGTCGAACCCCATCGACGAGCACGCAGCCAGCCGCAGCGCTGCAGGCAGCAGCTCAAAGCCACCCCCTAGAACTGGCTCTTGAGTGCAGCCGCCGGCGTGGCTTTCACAACCGTCTTCGCCTGACGGCAACTTCGGTCGCAAGATGCAGCAGTCACTGCCTGCCAGCGTTCCCGCATGTTCCCGCCTTCTGCGCCTTGACCTGAACCTCCTGCAGCAAAGACATCACAGCTTAGACTGCCTTCAATAACAGTCTCGTCAGCTCTCATCTGCTGGCCTTGCCGAACATCATGCGAGTGCCACCCTTCGTGGCAGGCTTCTGACCTTACAGCTCAACGTGGTTTGGCCTTCCCCACACTCTACCGACTCCAGTCACAGACATGAAGGGTATCAACCGCAGCCCAGCCGCGAGTCTTGATCATGCACAGCCCTGGCAACACGAACCTCGGACATGCAGGAGGTCACATGGAAACACCCCTTTAGCATGCGGGCGAGCATAGACTCAACTGCCGGCAAGGAACTTGCCGGTGGTGGTGACCTCGCTGGCACCGATTTCGGAAAGATTCTGCAGGACCGACAGGACCTCCTTCTTCTTGAGCTCAGACTTGGTGGCGAGCTGGTCGGCAAGCTGGGACTTGGTCATGGCTTTGGCGTTGGTCTTCATGGCCTTGGACTTCATCGCGGACTTCATTGCCGGAGCCATGTCTTGACAGTGGGTCGGGCGAGTGCCAAAGGCCTTGTGAAAGCTTGAGCAGCGAGGCTGAGCGCGAACAGCGCAACCGGATTGTCGCTCGTCAACATTGCTTAATGCTCACATCTGCAGAATCTGCAGAGTTCACTCGGTGCTTCTTCTCATCTCCCTCCGGTGAAGCTGTTGCAAAAACACTCCCTTTCAGGCGGCATCTTTCACGCGGCATCTATCGGAACACGTTTGTGCGTCTGATTGCGCACAGATCTCTCGCTCTGCAGCAAGCGAGCGTGCTCACCGTCGAACCCCATCGACGAGCACGCAGCCAGCCGCAGCGCTGCAGGCAGCAGCTCAAAGCCACCCCCTAGAACTGGCTCTTGAGTGCAGCCGCCGGCGTGGCTTTCACAACCGTCTTCGCCTGACGCATCTTCGGTCGCAAGATGCAGCAGTCACTGCTTGCCAGCGTTCCCGCATGTTCCCGCCTTCTGCGCCTTGACCTGAACCTCCTGCAGCAAGGACATCACAGCTTAGACTGCCTTCAATAACAGTCTCGTCAGCTCTCATATGCTGGCCTTGCCGAACATCATGCGAGTGCCACCCTTCGTGGCAGGCTTCTGACCTTACAGCTCAACGTGGTTTGGCCTTCCCCACACTCTACCGACTCCAGTCACAGACATGAAGGGTATCAACCGCAGCCCAGCCGCGAGTCTTGATCATGCACAGCCCTGGCAACACGAACCTCGGACATGCAGGAGGTCACATGGAAACACCCCTTTAGCATGCGGGCGAGCATAGACTCAACTGCCGGCAAGGAACTTGCCGGTGGTGGTGACCTCGCTGGCACCGATTTCGGAAAGATTCTGCAGGACCGACAGGACCTCCTTCTTCTTGAGCTCAGACTTGGTGGCGAGCTGGTCGGCAAGCTGGGACTTGGTCATGGCTTTGGCGTTGGTCTTCATGGCCTTGGACTTCATCGCGGACTTCATTGCCGGAGCCATGTCTTGACAGTGGGTCGGGCGAGTGCCAAAGGCCTTGTGAAAGCTTGAGCAGCGAGGCTGAGCGCGAACAGCGCAACCGGATTGTCGCTCGTCAACATTGCTTAATGCTCACATCTGCAGAATCTGCAGAGTTCACTCGGTGCTTCTTCTCATCTCCCTCCGGTGAAGCTGTTGCAAAAACACTCCCTTTCAGGCGGCATCTTTCACGCGGCATCTATCGGAACACGTTTGTCCGTCTGATTGCGCACAGATCTCTCGCTCCGCAGCAAGCGAGCGTGCTCACCGTCGAACCCCATCGACGAGCACGCAGCCAGCCGCAGCGCTGCAGGCAGCAGCTCAAAGCCACCCCCTAGAACTGGCTCTTGAGTGCAGCCGCCGGCGTGGCTTTCACAACCGTCTTCGCCTGACGCATCTTCGGTCGCAAGATGCAGCAGTCACTGCTTGCCAGCGTTCCCTGTGCTGGCTTAGCGTTGTTGAAACAGTTAAGGAGTCCGGACGCACATCGGCAGCGAAAAACGTAAAAACGAAAAATCGAAAAGTACATTTTCGACCGGAGGAAGCGAGTAAAACGGTAAAAATGTAAAAATGTAAAAACCAGATGGCCCAGCTTCAGGGGCGAAAAATGTAAAACTGTTAAAATGTAAAAAATTGCAGGATCGGATCTATTTCCGCCGCGGAAAGGAGAAAGGTAAAAACGAAAAACGTAAAATTGCAAAAACAATTTACCGCGCGAAAAAGGTAAAACCGTAAAAACAGCGAAAAAACGTAAAACCGTAAAAACGCGCCACGGAACGAAAAGCGTAAAGCTGTAAAAACAGCGAAAAACCGTAAAATCGTAAAAACGCGCCACGCAGCGAAAAGAGTAAAACTGTAAAAACAGCGAAAAACCGTAAAATCGTAAAAACGCGCCACGCAGCGAAAAGTGTAAAACTGTAAAAGCAGCGAAAAAAGTAAAAGTGGAAAAATGGTGACTAAGCGAAAAATCAAACTAAAGGTGGAAAACCAGGAACCAAGAACGGCGTCAAAAGAAACGCCACCCATCTAGCGTAGGTATCTTGCTTTGCTTGGAGGTTCAGGGCCTGGAGGGTCTTATGTTTAGGGTTTGGCGTGAGGTGAAGGAGCATAAGCTTCTCGAGGACTGCGGTACTGAAAAGGTTTCAATAAGCAGCGTGTTTTGATTGAGTTATACTTGGGACGCCTAAAACTTGCTAATTGTTCGTGTTCTGGCCCTTGGTGGCAAGCTTACGGGCTCAGGCTCCTAGCACAGGCCCCAATCATTTAGGTCCTGGGTCCTTGGACTCAATTGCTTGGGGCAGCAAGGACTTTGCCAAGGAGCTTTCGGATGTCCAGAAGCTTTTGAGCTTCTCTCCGAATCCACAGCTCCAGGCGAGTCTTTTGAATGTCTTGC